TCCTCACCAGACAATCAGTTCCTCACCTGGCACCTCCTGACCCTGCACAGCCAAGGTTCCTCACCAGACAATCAGTTCCTCACCAATCAGTTCCTCACGGGGAAGGGGCACATGCGACTCATCTTTCTATTTTCCCATAGTGCTTTTATCAGTGATTTCTAGTTAAGTATTTGTTGAAGAAAGTTGTATTATAGAAATTGCAACTTAAAATCTTTAATCAAAGTTATTTTAATATTATTATTTACTTTTCTTAAAATTGCAGGAAAAATCTTACTAATGGATCTTTTGGCTTTAATATATAATATGGAAATGAACAAATGTATTCAACCAATATATACTTGTACTCCCCTATCTGGACCCCAGCAAAACAGATAATGTGAAATTACCAAAATCTTGTGAAACCCATTAAGCAACCCTAATCTTTTTCCTACAATATTGTTTTTAGAAGTTCTAATGATATAGGAAAAAGTTCCATTTCATTCACTGTTATAGTTTGTTCAATATTTATTAATGCCATTCTAGGTAGTTTATTTTTTAAATGTAGATATTCTATGATAAAAAATTTGAATGTGGAAAGAAAACACAGTACCAATACCAAAGACTTGAGCATTTGAGCTAAAATTTAATTTATTCCCTAAGAAGCAAGGGTGCTTTGACTGTTTTCCTTTTCAGAAGAAAAAGCGAATTCTACATATTAGAGGCTTCCTTTGCCTTTAGATATACGTATACTGACATTCAAGTATAGCACAACTTTTGATAAATAAATAGTTATAAAATAAACCTTCAGGATTTAGTCATTAGGAGTGTGTCAAGACACTTGTTCTATACAACCTATTTTAATGAATAAGATATCAATATTTAAGAATTTATACAGTCTAAACAAGCACTTTAAATGAACTTTGGTGTTTACTAACTTAGGTACTCAAGAACTTGGTTTGAAGAGTCCAACAGACTGAAAGTCTGTTTTTCAAGAGTCCCATGATCTTCTATCAGTGGAGAGATTTTGGCATTTCTGTACTCTAAGAGATCGCGATCTTTGCTGGACGTCAGCAGTTCATTATCAACGAGACCAGCGGCTGCACCTTCCACCAGGATATCTGCTGGGTATGCTCCAGCTGGAGTTTCAGGCAACCCAATGTAGTCGTGATCTGCCACCACTGAGCCTTGCAAGAGATAAAGACTGTCTGAAAGAGACACAATAAATTTGGTTTTTAGAACTGTAATCATATATCATTTAAAAATTAATTAATTTTAAATAAGAAACAAAAATCCCAAGTATGAAAATGAACAATCAAGATTAACTCCTGGGGATTCTCCTGTCTAATAAATAAACAGCCATGTCTAGGAATAAACAAACGGCACATAAATTTGACACTTCATATCTAGAGAGCACAGGGAAGATCGAGTGTTTAAAAGGTTTTCTTGTTCCTTTGACCTGTCTTTGGTAGAAAACCACATGTGGGGACCAGGAGACAGGAGGAGTGAGAATTATCATAGGGGTTAAAAACAAAATTATAACACTTTATTTTTGATAACGATGGTATCTTTAATATGCTTCTGCAAGCATTCCTGGGTGAATGGGGTTATGAAAGATATTCTGATAAACATAACTGTTAAATCCTTATGCTTACAATTTTAGATAATTCTCTAGTCTTTAATGAACCCAAACATATATTAGGAAGATAATATCAAATTGTTACAACATGAAGGTAAAAACAAAATGAACACAGTTGCTATGTAAGGTTTATATAGTAGGAATAGGACTGGATAAGGAATCAGGCTCCAATAAAGACGCTTGAAAAGCTTAGCTTTTTAAAGTTTAATCTGATACCAAAATTCTCAGAAGCTTTTAAGGTGGAACTAATCAATACCAAAGTATTAACAGAGAATCTTCCTTCCCTACATTTTATTCTATTTGGGGGCAAATTTATTATCACTGTTAGAAAAAAGGTTTAAAATGAATGTTAAACTAATGCAAAACAGCAGCCTCTTTTAACACAAAGGGCGACACACACGAAACACTCTCCCATCGCGTGTTCTAATTCCTTAGAAGGAACCCCATCCCAGCTGATAAATTTCCTGGACCCCTGCCTTTTCTTCCTGAAACATCAACAGATCTTTTGAAAATTCTAACAGCTTAAGGAATTCTCAAGCTTTAAGTTCTTTAAGCAGAAGGGAGACAGACTGCCCATTTAGATTAGAGGGCCATGGAAGTTTTCAGAACAGATAAATTTGATAGTACATCCTGGAAAATGATGCTACTTAACTCATAATGTCTGAATAGCTCACAGAGCCTATTTCAATTCTAAAAATTCATGTATTTAATAACGTTAAACCCTCAATAGATCACACAAAGCTACTCTCTGTACGAAAAGAAAGAGCCATGGGGTTTGGGCATTGGTGGGCTTAGGCCTTATGGCCATTTAGCTTTGCACATTCACTTCTTCATGAGGCTGATTACGCCTGGTATTTTAGTTCTGAAGGAGTTTCCAAGTTTACTTATTAAAGCAAAAGCAGCAATTAGGTCAAAATGATATTAAGAAGATACACATATTTACAATGGAATAAAAATATGAGTAACCGAAGGTGGTAAGGAAACAATCTCCGTGTGCTAGTGGGGTGGAATGCCAGGAAGATGTAATTCTGCAGGACAAAAACAAATCATGCAGGCCACACTGACCCTTCTACTCAACAGCAGCAAGAGGGAAGAAAAAATATCAGTGAAATTGAAACGCTTTCAGAGCGTGTTGCTAAAGGTTTAAAATTAAAGTTTCCCGTGAGTCTACTGTTAATACTGGAGGCTAAGTTTGGTCTAGGTAGTGCTTACAAGAGAACTTAAAAATGTTAGGTACAGTAAACGTGCCACTCATGAAACTGTATAATAACCCATAGAGAACCCTATAGTTCAAGGCTGACACAGTGCTACACAATTATCAGAGATGGACGGCAGACACCACAGCATTTACAGAGTTTTTTTTTTTCTTTTGAGACAGAGTATCATTATGTCCCCCTCGGTAGAGTGGGTGTCACAGCTCACAGCAACCTCAAATTCTCAGGCTTAAGCGATTCTCTTGCCTCAGCCTCCCAAGTAACTGGAACTACAGGCGCCTGCCACAATGCCCAGCTATTTTTTGTTGCAGTGGTCATTGTTGTTTTAGCTGGCCTGGGTGGGTTCAAACCCACCAGTCTTGGTGTATGTGGCTGGCACTGTAACCACTGTGCTATAAGCGCTGAGCCATTTTTATGGAGTTTCTAAAGACACTTTCACAGATCTTTGATGAAGTAGGTTTTCTGTCTGAAAAACTTTTTTCTACATCGACGAAGCAGGTCTATTTTAGAAAAATATGTCCAGTAAACCCATTATCAATGGGGAAAAATACTGCCAGATGAAAAGCTCTTGAAAGTTACCACTCAGTATGGCCCCCAAAGACGTCCAGACACTAATACCTGGAACCTGTGAATATGTACCCTTACAAGGCAAAGAGAATTAAAGTACCAATAGAATTAAGGCTGCTGATCAGCTGAGCTTTGTCCTGGATTATCCTGCATTATTTGGGTGAAAGATGACCTGGACCATTTAGGTGGCCCAAGGACAATGGTCCTCAAATGTGGAAGAGGAGGCTGGAAGGATGTGATGTGAGGGCTAAACCCACATTGCTGGCTTTGAACGCAGAGGTACAGGACCACAGACCAAGGAAGGAAGAGAGCTCTAGAAGCTGAAGGAGGTAAGAAAACGGATTCGTTCTAAAGCCCTCAGATAGGAACTCAGCTCTGCCAATGCCTTGATTTAGCCATTTTAGCCCAGTGAGACCCATTTGGACAGATCACTCACAGAACTTTTTCCTTTAAGGGGGAACATTAGGATTTTAAAGAGGCACTATGGTGTGTTTTTAAACTTGGTATTAAAATAAGTGGATTGACAAGTGCCTACTCTTAAACTAGACAAAATAACAAACCGGCCTGCGTAAAACAGCAAGGACAGACGCTGCAGACCCAGCACTGAACGCGCCCTCCCCACTGTTCCAGATCAGAATGGGTGCCAAGCTGGCAGCACGGGCGTCTGCTGTGGACAATGAGTCCCTAATATAGTTACGGATTCTCAAGGCTGGTAGAGCAGCAATGATAAGCAGAGACAGATAAAGCCAGAGTTGCATACAGCTGGTCAAAATTTATGCCAAATAAAAAAGGGAGATGGGGGCGGCGCCTGTGGCTCAAAGGAGTAGGGCGCCGACCCCATATACCAGAGATGGCGGGTTCAAACCTGGCCCCAGCCAAAAGCTGCAAAAAAAAAAAAAAAAGGTGGATGATTACTCAAAAAACTTTTTTTGCCATTAAAATGTAACTCAAGGACTCTTTAAAATCAATTTGTGAGGTGAAAATTTCCAGGAAAATAAATGATACTGAGATAAAAGATGGTAGAAGTCATATTTATTTTGAATTTGTGCAAAAGAGAGAAACACAAAAAGAGGCCAAATAGAAATCAGGAACTAGACTCTACAATGTCCAGATCTGAACTCCATTCGGCGAACAAGAAAAACAAAAACAAGTTCACCCTCAGTCTCAGTTCCTCGTCCTGACTACACTAGAGAAGCGGCTCCTTCCTCCAGTGACCCCGCCGCTGCCTTAGTTACTGGAGGAAACTTCTGCAGACAATTCAAGAATGAGCAAAAACTATACTTAATCTGTTTAGAAACTGTTCTTCTCAAGTAGCTTCTGAATTACACAACAGAACAAAATAGTTTGCCTCTTATCTAAATCTTTGGCAAAAGCAAACTGCAAATCTTTGAAAACAGAACCTGGTATAGCAACATTTTAGAAGTGAAGTTTGCATCAATCAGGGAAGGTTAACACACTAGAAGGAGCACGTCTCGAACCTCAAGTCTAGGGGAGGATCCTGCTGAGGAAGGAGCAGGGGCACCTTGGCAGCCTTTCTGTCTCCTACTTGATCTGCGGCAGGAAGGCACCGTGGAGAGCAGTTCACAGCTAGGGATAGGCCCCGGGAGTGGAAGCACTTACTTTCTACCCGAGAAGAGCCCTGTGAGTTTTCAGTTAGAACACAGTCCAAGGTAAGTGCACTGGCAAGAGTGACCGGGTCTGTCACAGGAGCAGAGGCACAAGGAGCTTTAACCACAGGGCTATGGCCCAGACCAGAAGCAGAGTTGAGCTTCCTCCAAAAAGGTAAGTGTAGGTCCTGTGTCATGTTACTTACTGAAGCCTGTTGTTTAGAAATCTTCCCTGAAGTGTCATTCATGTTCAAGTATAATTAATACCTCATCTTTCTTTATAGAAGAAGCATAATTACTAGGTGAGGTACCAATTACCTCCTTCTTCCTTATTCACCTCAGAGCTCTAGGCAGGCATCCTCAAACTGTGGCCCGCCTAGGACATTTATCTGGCCCGCCGGGTGTTTTTGCCACTGCTGCCTGTCCTGCTTAGCAGTCGACTCGTCCCGGGGCCTGCAGTCCGGCCCTCCAATGGTCTAAGGGACAGTGAACTGGGCCCCTGTTTAAAAAGTTTGAGGACTCCTGCTAGGGGGCAAATACATTAGGATAAAACAGTTGATAAAGTGGGAGATTTAATCTGAAAACCACAGCAAAAACATCATTTTACTAGCCTGTGAGAGAAATGGGCAGAGACGTTAGGGTCTTGGCTGGTCAGAGCAGGTCCTGTTCTGAGCAAGGACAAGGCGTCCAGAGTGCCCTTCACAGCACCCGGCGTTCTGGGACACCCGCTCTCTCCCCCGCTGCGCCCTACCATGACCTCACTACAAAGCAACATTAATGATATTTTAAGTCCTTTGATACATCAATCTTACAACTGGATTCTGGACAATATGTTTGTTTTTGGCATTAGTGATTTTTGTTACTGTTGTTTTTCATAATAAAATGAGGCACAAAACGACTAATAGGGCACTAAGAAACCAAAAATTGAAAAGATGCTATTTTTTCCTTCAGTGGAAACAGGTGCACATAGTTTCCTGTGAGAACCATGAGAGTGCACACTAGAAATCAGAATGAAACTGCTCACAAGCCCGACAATCCTGAAGAGACATCTAACAAAAAGACCGTCACCTGGGACACCTAAACTGTCCCAAGTTTATAAAAATGAGAAAGGAAAAGAAAACCCAACCAGAGAGGAGAAAAAAGGTTCCTATTATTTTTAAGTTCTCTTCTCAAAGAAAGTAAAAAGCAGAGAAGTGACCGCCATTCACCGTGCTCTCCGGCCTCTCTCACGTAGGGCTTCAGGTGGGACATCTTGATGGGCCTCTTCAGCCTCGCCCCAGAGCCGTCCCTCAGGACGGCACAGCCACTGTCTGTGATGTAGTCTATGACACAGGGACCGACCCACTCAGACTGGAAACGACCATCCTTCCACCAATTTTTCCTTTGTCTTAAAACTTCATGCCCCACTTTTAAGTGAAATGGATTTATTTGCTTTGGTTTCTTCTTAATAATGATCTTGCTTTTATTTAGTTCATCCAAATTGTTGTTCTCCACCTGTAAGAATAAAAAGAAAAAAGAACCAAAGGATGTAAGGGCCTCTAATTTCTTGAAAGTAAATGCATATTATGGCGATTTACTGAAATGCTACTAGAAGTTAGGCATGAATCTCATTTAATTCTCAAAACAATGTTTCAAAGACTCGTCCTTACATAGAAAGTAAACTAAAGAAGGGTAATTTGCTAATAATGCCAAACAGCTGATGAGCAGCACAACTCCATCTGAATCCAGCTCTACTTGACTGCAAAATCGGAAACAAGTTTGAAAATGAGTTTTCTCATTATTGCCTCAGCATTTCATAGGTAATAAGTATATGCTATAACAAGACAAGCAAAATTTGACAGATAAAAAATTCTGGTGTAAGGGTATCTCATGTGTGTGCATGCATACACATGCATATATGCCAAAACTTTAAAAGTAGATGTCACTTTACAGATTTCTAGGGTTTTTCTATTAAATAGAATCACCTGGGCCACTGATGGTGTCTTATTCGCCACTGTTTCATCAGCTTCTTTAACAGCTTCTAGAATTCTGGTGAACATACTTGTATTGCCACCATCCACTTCCTGAAGACTATCTGAAATCTCCGCCATATAAGGATTTCGATTAAACATTTGAAAATATGGTGTATTTTTAGTAGGCTCCTATTTTAAAGAAAACAGCAATTTTGTAATGAAACAGTAATCTAGCCTAGAAATAGTCCTCAGTTAGAGACAGAGCATCATAGAAAGGCACACACCAAGTGCGTGACGTTGAAGGCGAAGGACACGGCCAGCAGGTGGTCATCCCAGTCGTCCGGGTGCTCCGCGCAGTGTTTGGACAGGAGTGTCTTGATAGCGCTGGGCGTGCTGTCAGCTGGGTTAACAGCCCCGGAGGTGTGAGAAATTACAGTTTGCTTCTTGCCAAACAATCCATACAGCTCAGCATTAATCTAAAAAACATGTAAAACAAAACTGGCTTCTTATAACCTGCAAGGTATTTTTCATTGATTAAAAAAAAAAAAGGTTTCAAAAGAATTGGCATCTTGCCTTCTTCACTGACTCCAGCCTCTACATAAAAACACACATTTTGTTTTAAAGCAGTAGTTCCCATTTATTGAGTCATTATCTGCTGGTTAACACACTAGACGCTTTATGTCATTATCATTGACCCTGACAAAATTTTTATGAGGTATTATTAATTTCATTTTAAAGGTAAGATGCTGATTGAAGTGCCTTGCCAAATACTTACAACAAGGAAATGAAAGAACAGAATTTAAGTTTAAATAATTTTTAATTCAGTAGACAATCTGCCAAATGAACACTAAGTCACACAACCCAGTTAACAGGTGTGTGACCTTGGCCAGCCCACTGAACTTCAGTGTACTCAGCTTTTCCTCATCTGTGAAAGAAACAAAATCCTATCCATGATTCTTCTGACGATTAAGTGAGTTAGTGTTTATAAGGCACTTAAAACAATTCTCGGCAGGTAGCAAGCATTTTATAACTTTTTTTTTTTTTTTGCATTTTATAACTTTTAACTGCTGTAATTGTTGTTATATCTTATACTATTCAGGATCTAAAAGAAATAAAAATAATTTTAGAAAATTTCTAACAGTAAGCTTGTTAAATGAAAAATAATTTCCTAACTTACCCCTTGGACTTTTTTTCTTACTATTTGTAATAGATAAATCTTTGCCTGATAAATTTATCATTTAAAGGAATATTTTGCATAAGTAGCATCAGAATAACTAAACACGTAAAGCTAATAACAGGAGGGAAAATCAAAACTAAAGTACACTTCCCAAGTTCCCTTGCAGGTAAGAGTGTTCACGTGACACAGTTCTGGCCAAAAAGATCTAAGTGAAAGTTGTTGGATGCCGTCTGCTGGTACAAGCTGAGTTTGCTCTTTGCTCTCCCCCTTCTCTCTAACTGAAGGGCAGACATTGTGACAAGGGCTCTGGCAGCTGTATCGTGCATACAAACTGAGAGTCACATCCCAAAGACAGAAAGCTAGAAGCTCCTGGGCTCCCAGTGACAGGCAGAGCTACCCATCCAGCTTTCAACAGCCTGGCTTTCTTTTCCTGAGTACAACATACAAACTCCTATTGGAATTTATATACTGGGGCAGGGGAAGTAGTCCTCTGTTACCTGAGCTGAATACAATTCCTAGCTTATACAGAGAGAGATTATTGGCATATATAGTAAGAAAATACAAGAATAACATATGTTAGGTTGTATCTCTTGTAATTGCAGAAATTAAATGTGACTTGAGTATGATTTTAATATAGTCTTTTCCTTTCTTAAAATATGTATACATTATTTGGCACCCTCTGTATGTATGCGTGTGTGTACAAATTTGTGTATATATACTTCTGTATGAATTCAGGTTGCCTGCCTTTAATTCAAAAGGAAGTAGAAAGAAATTCCAGAGAAAAGGTGTCATTTGGGTCAGCATCATTATGAAGTGCTGAGAAATGGAAAAGGCTGCAACTTCCTTGTTTCAAAAGTTTGCCAGGAAGGCTGGGTGCCCATGGCTCACTCCTACAATCCCTGCACTCTGGGAGGCCAAGGCGGGTGGACTGCTTGAGCTCAGGAGTTCAAGACGAGCCTGAGCAAGAGCAAGAGCACGAGCCCATCCATCTCTACTAAAAACAGAAAAACCAGCCAGACACCGTGGTGGGTGCCTTGTAGTCCCAGCTACTCGGGAGGCTGAAGCAAGAGGATCACTTGAGCCTGAGAGTTGGAGGTTGCTGTGAGCTGTGACACCACGGCACTCTACCCAGGGTGACAGCATGAGACTCTGACTTTAAAAATATAAAAATGTTGGCCAGAACCTGGCAACCTCCTGAAACAAAGTAAATCCATTTGTGAAACGCTGGCCTGACATTCTGACCCCCCCGCCTCCTCCCCACTCAGACCAGGGAAGTCATCAGTCCTTAAAAATTTAATTTCCCATAAGACACTTAAAAAATTAATTTTCCCATTGAATATGTTTCTTTTCTATCCTTCAGAGTTTTGCAGAAAGTTTTTTGTCCACTTTACTGAAACGATTCAGCAAACAGTGTAAGCTATGTTACACAGAGTCACCAAACTCTGTGCCAAGCTGTCCCCTCAACACCTGTCAGAAACCATAACTTAACTTAAGGTAGCTGGACGCTGGAGTAGGTTATAATCCTTACAACGACATCGTGTCTTTACAGAACTGTTTTTGTTCAGGCAATGCTGTGATAAAAATCAATGACAATGTGAAAACCAAGGTCAAGCAGGAAATGAGGGTGGCAGGAAAAATATGGTTCCAAGGTCTGAGATACTAGGCAGTGGTCAACAGGTATACATAATCCATCAGCAAGCAATTCCGGTTATTAAGAATGAAATAAAAATATTTTTTCTTTCAATTTATGGGCATTATTTTTTAAATGGCTACTAAGTGGTTAAGACATAAATACGAAGTGTGGATGGGCCTGTGTAGAGGAGAGTTAATGTAACATGGGACTTCCAGAGGACTGGACAACACAGGTCTGAGACAGCTACAGTCCCTGAAGGGCTGCTTACAGAGCTGGCCCTGGGCTAGTGTCCAGGAACTTAGGTTTTGGTGAGAAGGACAAATACCTTCTTTCCTTCACAGAATCTGGAATGTCTGTACATTCCAAGCAGAGGGTGCCTACATGACCAGTTAAATCCCTGGGTGCTGAGCCTCTGGTAACCTTTCTTGGTGGACGACATCCACATCTGTCACAACTCACTGCTGTGGGTATCAAACACAGCCTGTGCAACTTCCTTGGGGAAGGAGACTTCAGAAGCCTGTATGCAGTTTCCCCGGGGCGGCTTTGAACCAAGGAAGTCTGGCTATCGCTGATTTTTATTTTTATACAGTACCCCGTTAATTATAAAAACTTTAAAATACCCCTTAAGTTTGCCTTATGCCTAGTAGTTATTTTATTTCTGTTAAATATTTTTCATATATATTTTTGCCTACTTATTTTCAGATTAATGCTAATCTGAAAAAGGCCAGGGCAATGGGAAAAATACCTTTCAATATTGAAACAAGTATTTTTCCATTTAGTCAAATCTCCTTTTACCTGTCAACTATAGGATTTTTAAGCTAGAATTAAACACAGATTATTCAGTGCAATCTTTTCATTTCAGTCTGAAGAAACCTGAACACACAATTACTGAGTGGCATCATCAGCACTGGCCTCCCGATGTGCTGATCTCAGTCCAGTGACCACTGCAGGGTACGGCATCAAACCGCCAAACCTGCGGCCCTTGTCTGAATTGACTGAGCACCCTGTCAGGTATACACAGGGCATTGTGTGCTGCCAGACCCCAGTGGTCTGTCTTACCTGTTGAATGAATTCATCTCCTTGGTTCATTATCATTTTCTGAGGAGGTCCATATAAGAAAAACAAATTGATAATAGCCTTCGCGATCTCTGACGCTGAAACATCACACAGAGGCAGAATCATGACCCATTTTGTGAGCAGGTCCGTCACGATCACTGCATACACGTGGCTCCTGCTGCTGGTGTGGAAAGGCCCGGTCAGGTCCACAGTGACCACACTCCACGGGCCCTCCGCCTTCAGGAGGTGTGCTTTAGGTGCTAGTGTGACTGTATTTTTTGCCACTTGGCAATGCTGGCAAGCATACACCTATAACCAGGCATATGATAAAGAAAACACATACAAATGTTAGTATGTTCACATAACATAAAAGCAGTCCTATAAATATGAATTTTAAAATGGTTAACAGGTACTGTGTGTTTTGAAGGAGAAACTTTTGGACTAAAAACAGAGCACTGAATTAAATCTACTAGAAACAGAAAACAAATTATTAGTTGCTACCACAGTAATCTGTGAACAACATGGGCCTGGACTACACAGGTCCCCGTACCTATGGCTCTTTTCTCAACCAAACAGATTGAAAATACGAGGGAAAGGGGAAAAACCGGCAAATATAAAAGGCCAACTTTCCACAAACGTGGGTTCCATGCAGCTGACTGCAGGACTTGACATGTGTGAGTCTGGTCTCCAGTGACACAGCAGGTGCTGGAACCAACCACCGTACGCACCAAGGGACAACTGTTATCAAATGACGTCACATCAGGTCTTACTGGCATGGAACATGATTCTGGATCATGTTCAATAAATACTTATTAAATACTTACTCTTCTCCATAATTTAAATCAGTAACTATTTCTATATATAATAATTTCTATATGCAAAAGATGTTTCCTTCTAAACTTACCACTCTAAGAAGTTCATTCATTGATTCCAACAATATTTATTGAAATCTAATTTCATATGTACAATATGTATAGATGCCATAAGTTTCTCCAGGTCAGAAATGGGGAATCTGCAGCCTTAAAGCCACATATGGCCTTCTAGGTCCTTAAGTGAGGGCTTTTAAATGAATCCAAATTTTATAAAATGAATTCTTTGATGCTTATTAGCACATTTCTGTTCATCTTTTTTATTTTTATTTAATTTTTTCAAATGAACATATTTATTAATAAAATACCCAAGAATAAAATAAGTTTCAATGAAATAATCCTCCCAGATTAAGTGGCACAATCAGAACATTAGTAAATCAAAGCCTGAACAGACACCTGCCAAGCTCATGATTCAGCTCTAACTTCTCCTGCCCACGGCCCCACAATCGCATGAGGCTGGCTGGTGAGAGTTTACAGGGGATGAGGTACAACTTTTGACTTTGGTGCACTGTGTGTCGGTCTGAAGTGGATTTGTGAATAGTTGCATGATTTTACAATACTTTTTAATTCTGTCTGCTAACAGCCCATCATGTCAAAGAAGACCAAGAGAACACTGAAGGAAGAAAACAGATTTTTTAATGAGGATTTGGAATTGCAATGTTATCTTATTTCTGCTAAGAATAAGATGATCTGCTTGCTCTGTGATACTGCAGGACCAACAGTGAAGATATTCGGTGGGCACTGGGACTATAACGCTCATAAGGCCCACGCATTTTAATTTAGAGGAAGTCACATAAAAGGTTGTATTGCAGAAATTAAGAGATGAAAAGCAAAAGTAAAGTTAATTCTTGTTTTTTTCCTCCCTTGAGAGAGAATCTTGCTCTGTCGCCTCGGCCAGAGTGTTATGGCCTCAGTCTAGCTCACAACAACCTCTGACTCCTGCCTCAGCATCCCAACAAAGACAATTCTTTGAAGCAGTAGTAAGACCTAGAAATAATGACCTTGAAGCAACTTAAAAAGTAGCTGATATACTCAGGAAAGAAGGGAGACCGTTCAGTGATGTGGAAATTGTGAAAGTTGTAGGATGCTTAGACCCTGAGAACACTCCAAAGTGCAAACACCTGCCTATTTCAGAGAGAACCATAACTCACCAGCAGCATGAACGAGGCTTCAACTTAACAGAACAACCTCATGCAATACTTAAAAAGTGAAATATTAGGTAATAAGAAATGTCTGATTTCAAATCAAAAGCTTAGTTTATTATATCTCAAACTAGAAGCAGTGCAATTAATCACAATATGCATCTAAACTATAACAGTTTTGCCATCTTAACTGTAACTTGTTTCTGCCAGCACTGAAGAAGCCTGGAGAGTGAGTGGCAAAGAAATTACAAAAGGTGTTTTCCACACCTGGTTGAAAATTGACTATTTTCCTTGCAGTAAATGGTCCAAAGCCTGGGAGAAGTGGCAGTCAGCTGGTGTGAGGTCTGGAGAATACAGTGGGTGACTGAGTTTCCAACTCTAGCCCCTGTAGCTGTGGTGGATAATACCAGCACTAGACCAACAGACACCAGTAGCTTTTTTTTGATAAATATTCGCTTTTGGTCTGTGTTCCGGGGCTTCATCTTTATCCAACCAGTGTGCCAAACTCTTAGGGTTGTCAGAAAGAATCCAGTTTCCATCACATGTAACAATGTGACAGAGAAAGGTTCTCCTTTGTGTTGTCACAGCAAAGAAAGGCAAGCTTCAACACAGTTTCTCTTCTGAAGCTCACTTAATCCTCCTGGAACCCATCTACCCAGCTTCCTCTTGTCTACTTGTTTCAAATGGTCCAATATTATGGAATAGTAATGCCAAATTTTGCTAATTCATGGGTAGGTTGAAAGATTAGCTCCCACTGCAACTTTTGGCTTCTTATCTACCCTGGTCTCACGTTGACCATGTGGCTCATTGTCAATATTAAAATCACCAGAATGGAACTTTTCAAACTATCCAGATACTGAGACTTCATTAACTACATCCTTCCCAAACACTTCCTTGATATTTTTAGCTGTCTGCACTGGCGGAACTCTTATTTAAAAGTAACACACAAATTTTTAACTTACTCGTAGTTTCACAAAAATTGCTCTAAAATAAATGTGTCAGATAATCAATCACAAGCCAGAATGTGCATTTGAAGGAATGAGGATGGACCTTCACAATAACAATAAAACAAGAGTCAAAGTGAAATGCCAGAGATACCCACTGTCAAACTTAGCACTTAAGGAAATCAGATTTCTCTTACTTAAGAACTAATATATATTATGCAGTCACTATGGGTGAATCAACAGATACTACTGACAAGGGGCGGGTTTTATACTTCATTTGGGTCATAATAGAGGATTTTCTTTGCTACAGTCACTTGCTTTGGGTGCTCTTGTGAACAGAACATAGAGAATAGATAGACACCTTCAACAACTTTCAAGGTAAACAGAAGGTGATTGGACTGAACTCAGTAAATTTAGTGAGTGTACAGGAAAATATGACGGGTTTATTGCACAGATAAAAAAGTATTACTGAATCCAGATGTCCTCATTTCTTTTCATGACAACTTGCATCAGCCTAATCTCTGCTAAAGCTGCTATTTTAAATGACACTTTGCAGCCACTTGAGAGCATTCCTGACTAGGTTCCTGCAAATGCAACACAGGAGTGGTCAACATGCTATAGCTGAATGAGGAGGTATGTGGTGTCATCCGCCAGACCATGCTCAAGTGTGCTGGCTATCCCAGGGACAGGTGCTGGCCAAAAGTTTATCCCTGTGAGAAGAGATAATTAAATTTATGAAGAACAGAATCAGCCATGGGAATTATGGAAAGAAGATGTCTCTAGGAATAGTAGAGACATGAAGCTAGAAGATGTCTCTAGGAGTTACTGACAGACGATGTCTCTAGGAATGTCTCTGTGTGGTATCATGTCAAATTGAAACACCCTGAATATCTATTTGCAAGGTAAAACCAGGTCCATATGTCACAAGTGGCAAAAATTTTGAAAAAAGCTATTTTTTTCCAAAACACTTCTTCAAAAGGAAATTTCAGACAAACATTTTCCCCATTCAGTAAAGGTCATTGAACAGGATGACACCTGTGAATCATTTGAAGAATATGCAGCTGTTACAGACTTAGCAGATATAAGATAACATTGCAATTCCAAATCCTCATTAAAAAATCTGTTTCTTCCTTCAGTGTTCTCTTGGTCTTCTTTGACATGATGGGCTGTTAGCAGACAGAATTAAAAAGTATTGTAAAATCATGCAACTATTCACAAATCCACTTCAGACCGAAACACAGTGCACCAAAGTCTACAATAAAAGTCTCACAGACTTTGAGAATCACAACATCAGACTCAAATGTGCATTTCAGCCTCACCTACCTGGTCTCACCAAGGCACCTAAAGAACTAAGATGGAGTTGGTTGAGCTCTTTGTAGTTGACATGTTAAAGTTAGCTTTGATTTGATTCTAAGAAAGATAGAATACCTTCGCCTTCAACAACATGCCTAAAAAAAGCTTTCTTGCTTTTTAACCACTATGGCAGAACATCTCCATTCCCTGCATAACCAAATCAAGGTGCCCTTAAGGTCACATAACTGATGCCCATCCAGAGGACCGTCTGAGATGGGGGCCTCCATGCTGGGACCAGATCCTCAGATATGACTGATGCCCATCCAGAGGACCGTCTGAGATGGGGGCCTCCATGCTGGGACCAGATCCTCAGATATGACTGATGCCCATCCAGAGGACTGTCTGAGATGGGGGCCTCCATGCTGGGACCAGATCCTCAGATATGACTGATGCCCATCCAGAGGACTGTCTGAGACCTGGGCCTCCATGCTGGGACCAGATCCTCAGATATGACTGATGCCCATCCAGAGGACCGTCTGAGATGGGGGCCTCCATGCTGGGACCAGATCCTCAGATATGACTGATGCCCATCCAGAGGACTGTCTGAGACCTGGGCCTCCATGCTGGGACCAGATCCTCAGATATGACTGATGCCCATCCAGAGGACTGTCTGAGACCTGGGCCTCCATGCTGGGACCAGATACTCAAATCCTTTCCAACAAAAAGCAGACACAAGGTCGTTAAAAGGTCAACTTTAAAATTAACAAATAGTTTTCACTTTTTGAAATCGTAGGTACATAGTTAGACTTTACAGAATAATGCAGGTTATTAAATCATCTAGAAGGAACTTTCTTGAATGTGGCCGTTTTTGGTCACAGCTAAATAACGCAGCCTCCCAACATGAAGAAGCTCTCTACCCGTGCTCTAGTCTAGGTCACAGGAAAACTCTAAACTACCCCTCCCTCCCCCCCAAAAAAACCCCAAAACTAATCTCTGCTGTCATCTGTCATGGAAGTTGAGTGAAGTGAGAAGGATCAATTGACCTATTTATGGGTGATATCATTGCTCAATATAGTTCTGGAATTCTAGTTTGGAAACGACTTTCAAACTACTGAAGAAAAATTTTTAAAATATTTTATTACATTATAGTCACAGTTATTTTTAATAAAAAATTTTCAAATATAAACTTATTCACTAAATTTTGTCGCAAATAACCTCTAATTATTTCCAAAAATCATTAGATCATCCATTTTTAAATAATAAAGGTTTTACAAAGATTTCGCTGAATGCTGGTAAAGAAATGCATGGCAGGTGCCAAAGGCAAATACAAATTTATATTTGTCTTTGGAATATCTTCACACACTCACAAACTAGTAACTCAAAAATGACAATTAACAGCTGGTTTAGTTCCTTATGACTTATAGGCCCATCTTCTCAATGCACCATTACTATTTTTAAAGAGCTCTCATGTCCATGCCGAGGAATTCTTAGCATTTGGCATACAGTCCACCAGGAAGAACAGGATCAGGTGACCTACCAGTTAGAAGTGGAAGGGCCTAACAGGTGACACAGTTACAAACGTCAGACTTAGTATCTTCAGTTTTGTGAATTTGTCTTCACAAAATCAGACTTATTATCTGACTTTGCATTTATTTGGTTTTGGGTCTCTACCACGTTTGACATTTTCTACCTGAAGATGGGCTAGGCCTGGGAGATGAGAGCACACGGTGGGCCAAACTTATTAGAATGTCCTCGGCTCTCAACAAGAGCTTGTCTGACCGTCATTAAAGAGGTAACAGCTTAGTCAGACAAATGCTAGCTGCGTTTAAATTCTGCCTAGCCAAAGGAGTTCAATGATAAAAACCTGGTTCTAAATGATCTCCCATCTCAATGTGGTATTTTCAAATGCTCAAGTAATGCTTCTTTCTTGCTCAACTTATAGTTTAGTGATTTAAAATAATTAAAAGGGAACTAAAACTCCCTTTACGTGTTTTCTTGAACAAAAACTACAACCCCCAAACAGTACTTAATGAGATGTGATACCCAGAGTAAACCGGGAGCCATCATGACTTTTTGAGTATCGACTAGACATAATTCAACATACTCTAAATACGTAAGCCATACCCACTGTTTGACATCATTGGTCACAGAAGTCCAATAGTAACTGGACTCCACCAGCGTGAGGGTTCGGGATATGCCATGGTGAGCTCCAGCGTCATTTTCATGGCATTCTCTTAGCACTTTCTTCTTCTCTTCCTCTGAAACAATTACCAAACGATTTTGTTTTCTGTCTTTTCCAACATAAAACAGCTTTTTTTCTGGAATAAATGATATCAAAGAGATAGAAGTACAGGTTTTATAAATCTACATTGTTTTCAGATAATTATAGACTTACCCGCAAACCATGAGGGGTTTTGTTTTAGGAATTCTTATCCCACTTAAAACAGAGTAGTCACTTGCAAAGGTGTTACGGCACAACTGGGAAGGTCCTCAGCGCCTGCACGTACCTGCTCTGCACAAGCAGCACAGGCCGCTATGATTTTGTAGCTTTTAAGGCAAGCAGAGCTAGCTTGTTTTTCAAAGCATGTAACAACTATGGAAATATAAAAGTACCATTCCATGGAAGTTCTCAAACTAAGGAAATACATGCAGGTGCCTCCTAAAAATGGTCTAAATTAGCAAATAAATTATGTATAGAAGAGCAATTTCCTAGAACAGAATTTTCTAAAATTTATTTTATCACAGCTGCATTTTTGTAAGCAACCACCTCTTTGGTGTTTTTCTAGATTTCAGTAGAAGGTGGGGATGGTAAAGTGAGGGAACCTTCAGCCTCGAGACAATTCTGTTTTCCTTAGGAAGACACCTGAGAAGAACCTGCAGTGGGGAGACAACTAGGAGAGACCCAGCATCCACCTCCCCAGTATGGACAGGGCAGCAATTCAAACTCCAGAATACACCATCAACCTCCCCGTGTGCTGAACACAGGCTGAGTGGAGCAGTCCTTACTTAACTTACAGGGTAAGTAACCTGAAGGCAGAAATCTTATCTTTCTTATTCATCAATATATCTCCATGGCCTAGAATGTGACTGGCACATAGAAAGTCAGTAAACATTTGCTGCACAGAGTATTAAATAAAGGAATGAGTCCTCATCTTAGTCTAAGAGTAACCAGCCTGCCCGTTACTGGTAGGGTTGTACACAGAGAGACGAACCGCCTTCACCTACTTTGGGGAAAGCCTAATGCTAGACTTACAGGCAAAACTCCCATTAATAGTACCAGCATTTATTTAATTACCCAAACTTCTCTTCCCCTTCAAAGGAAGAAGGAAAAGAGGGAAAAATTATCATGACTTTCAGGATAAATATCCCACTGCCTTTCAAATAGTTAATCTCTTCAGAGATTCAGGGTCTTTTTTTTTTTTTTTTTTTTTTGAGACGGAGACTCAAGCCATCCCCCTGGGTAGAGAGCCCTGGCATCACAGCTCACAGCAACCTCCAACTCCTGGGCTCAAGCGAGTCTCCTGCCTCAGCCTCCCAAGTAGCTGGGACCACAGGTGCCTGCCACAGCGCTGGCCATTTTTTGGTTGCAGCCATCATTGTTGTTTGGCGGGCCCGGGCTGGGGATTCGAACCCGCCACCTTAGGTGTATGTGGCTGGCGCCTTAGCCGCTTGAGCCACAGGCGCCGAGCCGAGATTCAGGGTCTTAAAATAAATGTGATCCTAAGAAAATTTAAATGGCAGTAGGAGGGGGAAACCACATTAATATATACAGCTAATTCCGTTCTCCATTTCAATATACAGACTAGTTAACTTTGTCACCTTTTCACATTAAGCTTGGTGTGTCCCTCACTGACAGTGAGGCATGTTAAAGTGGCATCAGGGCTTTAACGGGCCCCACTGGAGCAGGTGAATCAGAGGGCAAAAGCAGAAGCTGTTAATTTAGGTAAATGTGTTGCTTTTTTCCTTGGCATCATTTTCTGCATAACGATTTAAATGTCCTTGTCACGCTCACTGGCCTGCAGATGGCTTCAGTGTGATTTTTATTTTGCTTTTGACTAAGCGGCATCATCACTTCAACTGGTAACAGTTTAGCAACATCAGTTACTACAGAAATTCCTAGGATTCTTCAAAGAACACACGTAGAAAAGTCTGTAATTCTGCACTCAAGATTGCGGACACCAATTTTACCTTTGAAAACAAACTTTTTCGCCGCTCTTCGTATGCCACTTCTCTCACTTGGCAGTGTGGTGGGGTGATACTCCCCGGTCCGTTTGTAATACGCGATCTGTTTAAGGTGGAGGTCCCCATTTTTTCCACTGCGGACCATTATGAACCTAGGTGAAAGTTATTTTAAGAAATAAATCACAAGTGAGTTCAGTTGCTATTTCAGTTCCGACTCTGTCATACTTATATTTACATATGAATTGAGCATTCCTAAAATATTATTTGTGAGGGAGATAACTGCAGTACAGGAAAGGAAGAATGATGTCAATGAACGAAAATATTCAAATGCTATTTTTGAGATACAGCACGAAAAATTATCTTGCCTCTTTCCATGTGATAAGAAATGCTAAAAAACTTCCACATGCTGGGAAAGAAAGGGAATGAACAAGTACACTGCAAAAAGGTCTGCTTCGAATCTCCTACTCCCGCCAGCTGGAATACGGCTCGCACAGTGTGGTCTCGTTACGTGACATCCAAATAAATAATGACAGGTTACAACAGGAGAAATACAGCTTATATCACTCCTAAATATACTCTTGACCATCTCATCTTCTCGCCACACCAGCCGCAGAGATGGTAACTACTTCCTGCTGCTGCCAGGCCCCAGGGCCTTGTTGGTGTCTTTGTCCCTGCCTGCCAATAAACAGGAGCTTCACGAAAATTTTTTTTTAATCCCACCAGAATCTCTTCTGTGTCCTGCGGTTACTCTGATACAAATGCTTACCACGTTAAAATTCTAAAAACAGTATGGCTGTCTACTGACCCCTGAGACTTTAGGGATGAGACGGAAGAGCGCCTTTCTGCAGACAGAGGGCTGGGATGGAGAGAACAGACTGTGCCTATCGCCAGGACCCATGCAGTCCAGCAAGTCTCTTCCCTATGACAGAGCTCTCGGCACGTGTAAAAACAATCTTTCTGATCTATTTATAATCTAAGACAGAATACAAGTGCATTTCTAATCTTAGCACGTGTAAGCCACTTCAAAGGCCCAATATCAACACTATCCCATGATAACCTACAAAACAGGTTCATTATCTCTACAAGGTACCATAGAACAATTTGGTCTAAGTTTAAGTCATTTTCAATTAAAAAATAAATATGTGAATTTTTCATTTTGTAATAGTCCCTACAAATACAGCTTATCACAATTTCTAAAACATTTCAAAAATGAACAGATTGGATTTTAGACTTTCTCTACAAATACAGTAAATAAGACATGCAGTATTGGCACAGGACAACTGGAAGAGGGTTTCCAGAGGTAGCCTGACAGGTAGAAAGCAAAGCATTTGCAATGAAGACATCAGTACAGCACAGAAAGAGGCGGTCTTTTCAAGGAATGATTCTCTAGCAGCTAGATATCTTTACAGGAAAAAAGTAAACCATAACCAACCACCTCACATCTCCCACAAAAAAACTAATTCCAAATAAATCATAAATTTAAAAGTGAAAGATAAACAACAAAGCTTCTGGAAGAAAACAATGGAAAAGATCTTCAAAATCTTGGGATAAGCAAAGATTTCTTAAATAGGATACAGAAAACACTATCCTTAAAAAAAAAAAAAGAAAGAAAAGGACTTTATTGAAATCAAAAACTTCTGTTGATCGAAAGACACCATTAAGAAAGCAAAACAGTAAGCCAGAGAGTGGAGAAAGAAATCTTAAGTACATACATCTAACAAAGTGCTCATACCCAGAATGTAGAAGGAACGTCTACAAATCAGAAACGAGAAAAATCCAATTCAAAAAACGAGAGGACAAATCTTAGGGGGCACTTCACAAACGGTGAATGAGTGAGTGAAAATGTGGTCAGCAGCATCACTTCTCAGGGCAATGCCAATCAAAGCCACAGCGATTTACAGCTCCACGTTATCCCAAAAAGATAAAACTAAATTGCAGACAAGACCAAGTGTGCGGGAGGACAAGGAGCAACTGGAACTCTCACACCTCCTTTAATACATTCAATGCTGTAACCGTTTGGAAAACTGAGTTTCTTCTAATGCTAAACATACACACACCTACCCTAATAACTTGGCAATTCTAAGTTTATATCCAGCAAAGTGACTATGCGACTATCACAAAATGTGTAGAAAAATGTTCAGGTATGTTTTATAGCCATAATAACCCCTAATATCCTCACTACAGCTCCCCCTCTGCCAATCTACTCTTGATCACTGGTTAATTTAGGAAGGCTTGTGTGGCCGCAGGTAGGGAGTACAGTCTGTCTACCTGTCCACGTGCCTGCCTCTCAACCTAGCTCTGCATCAACTCTTAAAAACAAACAAAAATCATTTTTGTGTGTGTGTCCTATTGTCACCTCTAGGCAATGCTGACACATTCTTTTAAGTCCAAGGGACAGAGCAATCAGTTCCATCAATCCTTATACGGTTTATATACTGCAAAATTCATAATATGCTACATATATAACCACAAGCTGTAACTTCTTTCCCTTAATGGCTTTTGGGGCCATCGATGTTCCAAATCATCCAAATCCGCTAAAGGAAAATCTAGAAATATCTCGTCCTAGTCAGCTGACAGCATGGTATCTGTAGGAAAATAAAGCTTACAAAAGAAAGCTATTTCCTGCCTTCTAGAGCTCAGAAAAGCTTGTGAATACTGAAGGACTTTAAAGAGAACAGGACAGAGGAAGTCTTTTCAGGCCTGTAAAAAGCTCATAGGAAGAAAGGATCAAACTCTTTCACCTTAGGGAAGGGGTATGACTAATTATAACTGGGAGAAAAAAAGCTGGGCATTGGAAAATACAATCATCTGCATAAACCACAGTGGCTTCTGTATTTTGCTCTAAAAACCCTCCAGTTCTCACCATCTCCTGTCCTCCTCCTACACACTCCTTTTATCTAATCACTAGATAGAAGATGAAGCTTTCAGTACACTTAAGTTAGCTGTGCTGTCAGAACACTGGTTTTCTACCTATAATAAACACATAAAAAAGCCTCCCAGAAAAGGTAATAAAAAGATAGTAAAAAGTTACTGAAGTTGGCTTCTCCACTTTCAAATCTTCAACTCTTGAATACTTGAAAATAGATCCAAGATAAGGGTAATTTGCTATCCTCAGAGTAAACTTATAGTACAAAGGGTCAAGGAGGAAAGGAAATCGGTATACAAAATTTTCAAGGTTTGAGATTTTTGCTTAGTTTGTTTTCCTTATCATTAAGGCAGAGGGAAATCACTGGAAGAAGATATACAAGTCAGAACTTTTCTACATATTTTCATATTTCACAAGTCCTCTCAAAAATGTACTATTTTTATTTTTATAAGAGTCAGCTATCTTGGCTGAGGGTAGTGGCCCGTACCTGTAATCCTAGCACTCGGGGAGGCCAAGGTGGTGGACTGTCTGAGCTCATGAGTTAGAGACTAGCCTGAGCCAGAGAAAGACCTTGCCTCTAAAAATAGCCAGGCATTATGACAGGCACCTATAGTCCCAGCTACTTGGGAGGCTGAGGCAAGAGAATCACAGAAGCCCAAGAGTTTGAGGTTGCTGTGAGGTGTGATGCCAGGACACTCTACCAAGGGCAAAGTGGGATTCTGTCTCAAAAAAAAGAAAGAGTCAGTTATCTTGGCTTAGTAATGAATAGAACACTTGAAAGGGTAATTATGTACTTGACATAGTGACCTTGAAACTTTAGACTATGCCTAGCATATTTTTATTTTCCAAATGATCTACTTGACAGAGTGAACACTGTAAGCCTGCCTCTGGGCACTTTCTGCTACTTACAGACTGAAGTCCAACCCGTTCAGCCTGCCCTCTACAACCTGGCACAGCACAAGTCTCTTCTTTAGCTTCCTTTGTGTACCTGTGGCCATATCCCAGCCATTCTCTGTACCTTATCATTAGTTCCTCCTGAATGGGGGGTCCTTCCAATTCTGCATTTTTAAACTTTACCTCTCTCTCAAAATCATGCACCTCACTGAAGCAAGCCTTCCATGATCTGTGACTCTGAAGTGATCCTGACCACCCCTGATCTTCTTTTACCACAGAACTTTGCAGGTTTTCCCCTCTTTCGTAGCTTTTTGCCTGTTCATCCATATAACCCTGCATTTATTGCTGATTTTCTGAGACCTTAAACTCTTGTATGTATCAGGTAATGCGAATGCAGAGGTAAACAGATGAAATCTCTACCCTCGTAAAGCTTATGATGTAAAATGACAGGAACAGGGGTGCAAATCAGCATCTATGCAGCATAGAAGGTTATTTTTTTTTTAAGTATGCAAAGTGTAGTATAAAAATAGATCTGTCAAGACCCAGATCGACTTGGAGAGGAGAACATTTTGGACCAGTAAGAACCTTGAACGTTACCACCACTGCCTTAATTCAGACTCGCTTCATATTTGACCCTGTCTGCCTGATCTCTAATACGGTCCCTCTCCTCACTGTGACCCCGGAGGTCACCGTAAAATACAAACCATATCAAAATACCCAGCTAACTTCAAAATATCCACCTAACTTGAAATAATGGCCTTTTACCACTCCCAATGTTTTCGGTCCCTTTGAGCTTCTTTAAGAAAAATATATAACAAGGCGGCTCCTGAACAACAGAAATTTATTTAGCATAGTTCTGGAGGCTGAGAAGTACAAGACGGAGATGCCAGAATATTTAGCATCTAGCCAGGGCCTGCTTTCTCATAGGCAGCTGGTTACATACTCTAGTTCTGCAAGAGCAGTATCAGTGTCACAACTGATTGAACTTTTTACACTATGCCCCTTGCTTGACGTCAAATAAAATCAACAAATACCTGTATAAAGACTTATTGCCTAATTCCTTTAAATAGTTTATGTTTGTGTCCAACAAGTAGGACAATTAAGTATAATTTGGAATGAAATTATGATGTAATTGTATTTCATCAAGGGTAAAACCACCAATTCAAGCCTCCAAGAGGTTATTATGCACGTTCCAACTTAAACCTGTGTTATTTCAATAAATTGAGATGAGAATTAAGGCTTTTAATTTATATTATGCAATTCCTAAAAAAGTGGACATGCACAATTTTATGCATCATGAGGGCTGGGAAATCTAAATACACCAGACACTTCCGCATACAAACTCATTTTTAAAGATGCCTTCAATCCACACGTCCACAGGCACACGCACGAAGCCACAAGGGATAATCCATTTTCTAGTAGAGAGTATCTCCTTTGATTCGGAAATGCCCATTTAGGATCATTCACTGAGATAAAGTGTACATTTTTTCCCCGTAAAACTACGTGACAACATTCCCTCTTGAATGTTTCTCCTTGCTACAAATTTTAACTTGGGGCAAAATTTCAGATTAAATGTCAACTATGATAAAGTAACGGGGAGCATTCTTAACGTCAGCCAAGCGCTGCACTCGCCTTCAAGCGCTCCGAGTTTCAAACGCTACTTTCATTGTCAGAGAGCATTTCCAAAGAATCTGGACGGCTGGTTAACTGATTCTGAAGACGAGGTCCGACACGAGATCTAAAGATTTCAGCAACAACACTCGACTCCACCGAGCAGGCGCTCCGCGGCCCACCACGCCGCAGAGGCCCGCCCGCCCGGCGCCTGCGCACTGCCGCCCGGACGCAACCCCTTCCCGGGGGCGTTAAAGACGGAAGGTGTGGAATGACTGTCAGGGTACGGCTCACTTCATCAAACACAGTCGTTACGACAAAACACGGCAGAACGACCACTCACCAAGGTGGTCCTAAATTCAAACGACAGGATTTAAGGTTCCTCTCGCAATTTATCTGGTGCTGCCGGAAGCGGAACTACTCGGATCGTTAAGATGATAGTCCGGGGACCTGAGTCGGGGAAAGGGAGGGCGGAGCCCGGGCTGTTGCCGGAAGCCGTTCTGCCCGGCGAGGTTTCCCGGTGAGACCCGAGGGGGCGGGGAAGAGGCGTGGCGGATGTCAGCGAGGTGTGGAGGCGCCTGAGGTGCTGCTGGGTGCTCCTGGGTGCTGCTGGCGGGAGAAGCCCACGTCCACGCCTGCAGCTGAAGTCTCCGGACGAACGCCTCACCCTTGGCCGGCGGATTGGAAGGGGATCCCTGGACCCGAATGGGCTCGGCGGTCTCCAGCAGCTCACGTGGCGGCCGCAGGCGTGGCAGGTGAGGCGCGGAGACCGCAGGAGGACGGGCGACGCGGAGCCGGGTCCCGCGGGTCCCGCGGGCTGCGGCCGTGCGGGGCAGGGCTGTGCCTCGGGTGCTCCGCGGGCCTCCGACCCGCTCTCCTCCGAGGGGCGTGTGCCCGGGGTGGGCGTGGAGCGACCGCACGGCCCCGAGGGTCCTTTGGGGTCTCGGTTTCTCCTCCCTCCTCTCGCCCAGGGCCACCCTTTTTCTTTCCTTCGGGTTGAGACGCCAGAAATTGCCCCTGATCCGGACGGAACTGCCGGTCTTCTCTCCCGCTCCGCGTCTGCCTCCACCGAAGTGGGCAGTCTCGGGCTTGGGGACTGCTGCGGGTGGTGGCTGTTTCCATTTTCGCTCCTGTCTTTATACCTTCCTCGTCCCTTCCACACCCTCTCTAAGAGAACAAAAGCTCTGTGCGTTGCAGCGTCCCGTAGTGGGAGCAGAGGCTGCGGTCACGCCGGCGCGGGGTCGGTTGGCAGGTGGCGCAGCCCCGCGCGCTCTGCGGGAGAAGGGCCGAAGGGGCGGCCACTGGGTCTCATTCACGAGGTTCCTGATGACTTCTTGGAAGTTGACGATTCTTGAGGTCCTGTGGCTAATAGTTGTCTTGCTTTAGCGTCCTGGAAGGCTTAACTATGGGCACGGCTGACTTTGTTACCTAGCGACCTCGCGGTAGCCTGGGACAGGATTTCGTTTTGCTATTATAAATTATTTAATGAAGCATGTATTTTTTTTCAGGCAAATAAAATAATAATGACAGTGACCTTACGTGTACCAGGCGCTTTACGTATTTTCTGATTCGCTCTTCTCAATGCCATGAAGTAGGTTAGAGTATATTCATAGACTTAGAAATTGAGGCATAGAGAGGCTAGGTAACATACTTGAGTAAACTTTTTCCCTAAGTAAGCGTTTGAACCTGTATTCTACTATTAGCCTACCATTATTCTACATACACTTCCAGTGTCTTTTAACTTACATTTTCAGTGACTGCAAGTATATTATTCTTTAAAAAAAAAAAATTGGTGTGCCCATTTATGTATCTAATAAGTAATAGACATGATCTCTGTCTTTATGTAGCATTGCCATACTGAATTAAATAGTTCAAGATCAAAAATACTATACTTACTGCAGCACAACCTTATTTAAAGCAAATGATTAAAGTGACAAACAGAAAGTTCAGAGTTGTACAATCAAAACTTGCACAAATTTTCAATTCGTGTGCCTTGCAGCATAGTTCTTGTGTGAATATCAAACAGTTGGTAGAACTTTTATTGATCACTCAGATAAGTGCTGTGGACTCAGGTAAGTGCTGGGAACTTATAGTAGAGGTCCTTGATAAGCAAAAGTGCCCATGCAGCTTCTTATGGGTAATGTTATAGAGTTAGTAGTTTTAGTAGGTAGAAATGGTATTGTCTGTGATTGTGTAGAAAGATGTCTTTACTTTTAAAGAGATGCATAGTAAAGTATTTAGAGATGCAGGTGAAACCTACAGCTTTCAAGTGGTACATCAAATGTGTGTGTGTGTGTGGAGAGAAAGTCAATATGGCAGAATGCTGGCAACTGTTAATTCTCATGGTGTGTATATGGGTGTTCAGTGAACTGTCTTTCAATTTTTCTGAATTTTGAATTTTTCATAATAAAAAGTTGTGGAGGAAAAAACCAAATCTGATACAAACCGATAATTGTAAAGATAGATCTAAAATGCTTTGGTGCGTAGAGGGTAGGAGAGGGTTTTGATCCGTACTTGGGGTGTGCTAGTTGTCACAGAAAGCTTTCACTGAAGACCTGGTATCGAAGTGGGAATAGTAACTTCCAAGGAGAACAATGAATTCCAAGCAAAAGGAGAAAAAAGGCGTCACATGAATGAAGAAGGAAAAAAATCGATGTGAAGATGTTGGGGAATATAGAATGGGCTTTTCCAGTGGGTAATCTTACAAATGCTGACTGGGCACCTTTGCCAGCCTGCAGAACCTCTGTAACATCCCACAAGTAGCTGTTCCATTATTGCCTTGGAACTGAGCCACCGTTTATAACAATGTTTCCACTGGAAGATGATTTAGGGATTTCAGGAAAACAGGTTATGTGTCTTTGATTAGGCTGAGCAGCAAGAGTTCCTCTTCCCTCTGATTTGGGAGTGGAGATGTATTAGTTCATAGTTGGGCTCCTGAAGGAACCTATGGAAAGGGCTGTAGTTGTGGGTTGGAAAGATTTTATGTTTGGGTAAGGTGGGAGAGGGCTCTGAATACTGTGTGGGACTGGTAATGATGCAAGTATTCTGAGGGCTAGGTAGCTCTGGCCAGGACCAGTAAAGGTAGGAAAGACGTGACTGTTTATCCCAGGCAGTAGTGTTCCATGAGATTCTCAAGCAGTGTAAAAAGACTGGAAAGATGTAACCAGGTCTCCCACAGCAGCAGTGGTTCACTAGGTGGGAGGTAAGTAGATACCTCTAAATCGAGTGGTTAATGGTTCTGCTTTGACAATTAAATTTAATCAGAAATCTTTGTCTTAATTCTAACAGTTAACAGTATATAAACAGCCAACATTTATTGTGTCCTTAATATGTGCTAGTTGTTATGGCATCAGTATTGTCATTCAATCTTTAAAACAATGTATGAGATTTATAATCCCGTTTTACATATGATGGCTGGAGAATTCAATAACTAGATTAAGGACATGGAGCAGAAGAACTTTTAGGAAAAGCTTTCAAATTCAGTGTTGTCAAAGTCTAGAGCAGTTGTTCTCATAGTGGGGAGCAGCATCTTTGAACTTTTTATAAAGGTAAAGTAGTGCCCCCCACACCCAAATTTAGTGCAATCCCTGAACAAGCCCTCCAGGCTAGTCACACAGACACTATAGTTTGAGAGCCACTGTTCTGAATGTGGATACTTATAGTAGCATGATAATTGTTAGAAATCAGGTTTAAGTAATATTTAACTCTTGCACAGATTTGAAAACATTCCCAAACCTGTCTGCTCATCCATTTGTTAAGATAATTTCTCTAGTTAAGAATTACTGCTTAAGAAGATCTGTGGTAGACCCACTAACTTGTGTTTTTAAACGTAAATGAGGTAATTCTGATATAACCAGAATTCCAGGACCACTGCTATAAAAGGAATTTTAAAAATAAAGGTTCAATTCTGATATGTGAATAATATATGTGTATTAAGCATATACACACATGCTGTGTGTAAGCACAGACAGTTAACATATTTTGGGATTTGTGACTGAGCATTGATCAAAGTGGTGGATAATGTGGGAATGCTTTCCACATAAACTGTATTTGCTTCAATTAGGGTTTCAAGTGAAATAACAAAATGTAGAAAGATTTGAATCTCTCGTAATGCTTATAAAATTTTATATTGTATAGGCAATGTATATTGCTTCAATGGAAGAAAAATTCAAAGTTGTTCAACGTTTTTAGTTTTCCAAGCGTTTAGTAGACATTTGCATTGTTGTCGAAGGGACTGTGGAGTCCTTATTTTTGCTGAGTGAGCGAACAATCTTGGGTTTGAGTTCCATTTGCAACCCTTACTGGCTGGGTGATCGTGATCAAATTACTTCTACTTTCTGAGCCCACAAGTCCTCTTTTATTATGATACAATGGACATATATTTTTATATGTCAAGCATTTATGAAGTGAAGAAAATATCACCAATCCTGGGATGTCCGTGAGATTAATTGCCAAATTCCAAAGTAGTAACTGCTTCCCAACCGTTTTCATGTTAAGGCATTCATAGAAAATGGTAGTGTTTGTATGGTATCCCCGGGAAACTAAGGAGAGTACTGGTATAGGCAACTGGACGGGGAGTTATGGCTGCCTTAATGGGTGAAACAATCCATATATATATATTTTTTTTTGCTCATTTTTAGCTCATTTACCATGAGGGAACAGGTTGGGAGGCTTTGAGTTTACAAATTACTTACAAGGTAGCAAAGTTTAATAAATGTTCACTCCCTTGAAGTTAATTGTGGAAGGATTTATGTAACCCAAACTATCAAATAATGGCGAGGTTATAGGGGACCAGATATTAAAATGGATGATTCAGAAGAAGTCTTGGCAATTGTTAAGGAAAGTTTTGCAGGGGAGTATTTATTGTGTGCTTAAGATACACTGAGCACCAGGAGGACAAAGCTCCTGCTCCGTCAGTGTATCTCCTTTTGTTATAGAAGGTCCTCAGGCTATTACAGTAGCAGCACCGGTATTGACAGTATGGGCACATGCTTTGGGCTCACCTTGTGTTTGCCTTGCTCCCCCTTCCTCACCGTGTGTGGGGGGGTGGGGGGGTGGGGAGGGGGGTGTAGTACACTGGTTCTCACACTTGGCTGCATGTTGGAATCACCTGGGAAGCCTTCAAAATACCTGAGCCCTACCCTCAAACAGTCTGATTTAATTGTATGGAGCGTAGCCTAGACCTTGGAGCACAAGCACTTTTAGTACATTATCTTATATTTAATCCTTACAATGAGCTATGAGATAGATACAATTGACAGCTGAGGAAAGTGAGGCTCTGAGAGGTTAATTCACTTGCTGAAGCTTATATAGGTATCCATCTGAGTCAAGATTCAAACCCAGGTATTTTGGCTCCTGAATCCATGCTCTTAACCACTAGCCTTCTTCTCTCTTAAAATATCTGTAATCTCTCTT